GACGATGTGAAGTATGCCACTGTAGATTTAACTGCCTATTTATAGCTCTTCACAGCACTAGCAGTAGTACTCAAGGCCGACTGATATGTGATACCAGGCCAGATCAAGTTTCACATTTTTCAGACACAGTGAAAAACATCTGGGGCTTATACCCTAGCATAGAAAAGAGCACTGAAACACAGTTGGCTAAAAAAGGGTAACACATATTTTTTTTTCTGACATGACAATTGAAGCACATTTGGGAGGTTCAGGATTAAGTGTTTTTTTGTTGATTGAGGATAATTAAACTATTTTGATTGTTGGATACGTATTTAGGCCAATAAAATGTCAACAAGTTTGAAAGTCGTTTTTATTTATGATATGTATCACCTACTGTACATCCATGGTGGTAATTTGTTAGTGGTCGTCTTTTATTTAAAAAAGAACCATGGTACATTATTTGAGCCAGTGTATGTAAATTCACTGCTAAGGACCTCATGAGAACTTAATATCAAACCACACATATACATGTGAGAATTGCATGCAGTAATATTTGTGTAGTCTCCTATGTGTTAGATGTAATAGCTCTGTAGCTGTTTTTTGTGAGTCAGTGCTCCTGTCCTATCCCCTTTTATTACTTGTGTCCATATACTGTGTTAACGCAAGGGTACCTTTTCTTTGACACAGCAAATAATCCCCCAGATGGCAGCACATTGTCATTGGGCCGCATAAACATCACCACTCCAACCATTGCGTCTTCCGTATCAGTTGCTGGTAGTACTGGTGGTGTTACTCCAAGTGATGTTACATCCTTCAATTTAAGTCCAAGTTTAATTAACAGCCAGAGAAGTGACAAGCTAAGTCCACTATCACCATTGTCTGGTGATGGAGGTATGTAATTTTCAGAATTTGTAAGAACATGTCTTGAATATCTTGATTCATACATGGTTCTACACTGATATCGTGAATTATTCACCTTGCATTGCTATTTGTCTGAGGACTCTGCCCGTTACTTGGGAAACTATCTCCATACATCATGTAATTGGTCAATCTGCAGTCATGTGATGTAATTGGTCAATCTGCATTCATGTGAAATTAATGAAAAAAACACAAAAAACAGTTATATAGATACAATGCACAAGAAAAATAGTTTTTGAATTAAGCATTGCCAATATGACCTCTGTTTACAGGTGACAAAAGAAAATTAGAAGTTCCACAAAGTATAGAAGATGCAAAGAGACAGCGGATAGAGGGGGACATACCAATGGAAACAGTCACTGCAGTATTATCTACAATAACAGACCCTTCAGCTATGTTAGGACCAGAGGTGAGAATACTGTCACCTGTATTCACAGACTGACATTGTAACCACTTAGTTTGAGCCTTATACTCTGCAATAGCTGGTTCTGATATAAATTAGTGAGTAGGCAGTGCTCATCATTGCATAAAATTACATTCCTTATTAATTAACCACAGTCATTCCAGCACATAGTAATCAATGTGGTTCACATGCAAGTATACAATGTGTGTAAATTACATTTTGTTAAAATCAAATTTGTGTGACTTGCGTGGCGGTTAATGCACAACAGAGAAGTAGTTTTAAATTAGAAGTCCATTGATACACGTATGTGTATTTTATTCACAGGGCACTTTATTTTCCGCCAATGCTGCCAGAGACGAAACAGCTAGGATGGAAGAAAAAAGGGGAGTAATTGAATTCCATGTGATTGGAAATTCATTAACACGGAAACCGTCAAAAGATACATTGATATGGTTGGTTGGCTTGCAGAATGTCTTTTCACATCAGTTACCCAGAATGCCCAAGGAGTACATCACCAGGCTTGTGTTTGATCCGTAAGTTTGTCTCTATGTTTATCTACAAGTGTTTCTTAATTATTTCACACGCAAACAATTTTATTTGGCTCCCATGTGTGTTTATTTTGTCTAAAAAAACAAAACAAAAGTGCACCTTATGTTTGACCAAGCATAAATTCAAGGATTGCTATATTTAATAAGACCCTTCTCCCTGCTGAATATACAAAGCATTAATTTTCAGATTTTCTCTATTTTCTCGAGTACATTTCATGAAATTTGTCAATCTCTGAGCGTTCTTTGAACACTACTACTGAATAGCTGCCCCACTGTAGCCTAATTCCATTGTTGTTTTTTTTACTTTAGAAAACACAAGACATTAGCTTTGGTCAAAGACAACAGAGTAATTGGTGGAATATGCTTTCGTATGTTTCCAACACAAGGTTTCACTGAAATCGTGTTCTGTGCTGTGACATCTAATGAACAAGTTAAGGTATGTAATGGAGTGTGTACATTTTTTTACATCTGTTTTAACGACTTACCAAGATACCTCAAGATTATGGGGGTTTTTTTTACTTAGGAGAGCTAGATGTATGAAGTACTGTAAAGGGGGTAATTATTCACTGGGTTTTAATTTAGCTTATTTCGCTGACTGGAAAAATGCGCTAAATTAAAACACAGTGAATATGTAAAATTTAGCATAGAACACATTATCTAAATGATAAAACCGTGAATTTAAAACCCACTGAATATGCCTGAAATGGTAAATCAGTGAAATTTAAACCCAGTGAAAATTAGTCATTTTACAGTACTCCCAAAGTGCAATGTGTGTGACAAATCTATTAGAGACTTTTGCTGGATTGCCTGTTTGACAGATAACCATTTCGCTCACAATGTGCTTGTTTTTTCCGGACCACCTTGAAAATATTTTTATCTGTGAATTGTTACTGTTTCCCTGTTCAAAACTGATCACTAGTCAGACTTCTGACTAAAAATATTCATGACAAAAGTAAAGGACTACAAATTTCTTGATTACTACCCTCATCCAGAGTTTGCAACTTTTACCAGAAAAATGTGTTGAACCAAAATTGTTAGTCAGTGCCATTGTGTTTCTAGAGCAAGGTATTGATGCTAAACAAATGGTAAAATCTTCCAATCATTAACCAGTTAACATTTCTATTACATTGGTAATCTGTCAAAAAGCATTCTTTTTTCCATTATTTTGTCAAATTAAAAAACAAACAAAAATTGTTACATTTGCAATAGCCAGTCAGTCATGCTAGCTTTGAAGAAGAGTAACCAAGAGAGTCCAAGGGAGTCAAATGCTCTGTCACTTTGTATTTGTTTGTATTTAAATCATGAATGAATATATTCAGTTTTTTTAGACTTTTTTGTGTGTTAAAATTTCACTTTGAGTTCATCATATGTACTCTGTTCCTCTCCAAATTAAAACGTCATAACTCATCAAGAAACCTGATGTATTTTCTACATTTATATTGTAAAGTGGGAATATTGTTGCAAATGTTTTCTAGTTACTATTTGTTGTATATTGTGTTAATTTTTACAGGGTTATGGAACACATCTGATGAATCATCTGAAAGATTACCATGTCAAACATGGTGTGTATCACTTACTTACTTTTGCAGATGAATATGCCATTGGTTACTTTAAAAAACAGGTATGCAATTAATTATACATGTTGTTCTGAAGTGTATTCATTATACCATGAACACAGTAAGTTAGTTGTTACTCAACAGAAGCCTCAGACAGTGGAGATATCTCGATCCACACAATAATAAAATCTATTCCACATGATAAAAAAAATGAACAATGGTTGAAAGAATGATAACAATGAATACCTTATTCTTGACTTGGTGCCTTTAACTGTGAATCACTTTGGTGTTGAAAAGTTGAAATCAATGCCTGTACTTGGAGTAATTTTTGGAATTCACACCATTCAACACTGGTCACACTAGGTAACTGTCACTATGTCATTGAAGTCTCTTATACTGAATAGCCCCAATCAAGAATTGTTAAATGTCCAGTAAGTTTTCAATGATACTCGTACATTGTATTTACATTGGAGTGGTGTTTGTGCTTTTTTTAATTATTTTATTTACTTTACATGTTTTTCCAATTGACTATTGTTTATTACAATCTTCCATGACATTGTTACTGTAAGAATATGTGCAATATACCGTACTTGTCCAACCTAGTGTCCAGAGTACTGTGCTCTGAAAAATCATACTTAAAAAAAATGTAAATGACAATTTTATCTCAGTATGTGCCAGATTAAAGGAAATATAAATCTCTTCAGGGAAAATAAGGTTGATTACGTTGTCATTGATTTCCACAATACTTTTACAATGAAGAAATAGAATCTCACAACTCAGCAGGTCTTACAACTCATGTGGTCTCACAGCAGGTCCCATAACTCAGCATATCTCACAACTAAGCAAGCTTAATTAAATTCCTCTCTGTAGTACTTGCAGTGATCAGAAACCAATTTAAACATTGTCTTTTAATATAAATTATTGGTTACAGGGTTTCTCCAAGGACATCAAGCTTCCAAAATCCACCTATATGGGTTACATTAAGGATTATGAAGGGGCTACCCTTATGGGATGTCAAATCAATCCCAGAATTCCATACACAGAGTTCACGCATATTATTAGAAAACAGAAAGAGGTAAGATAACCATGCTGACCAAAGAATCGTTAATTATTCATTGGGTTTTATTAGTCCCCGTTTAGTTTTGTGCGTACATGTATCTTATCTTCTGCCTGGTCTGATTACATTCAAACTTCACACACACATTGTACATAATATTATACATATGCATATCAAAGTTATTTCATGATCTGATTCAAGATGGCTGAATGGCAGCCATTTTTGTACTGAAAAATCATCAAAATCCAGCAATTCTCAACTGTTTACAGATGGATTTTGTTCAAACTTGTTACACACATTGGACATTATGAGAGCTTGTCCGATTCTCTGACATGTTTTGACTGATTATGTTCAAATTTTCATTATACATCATGTCATAGATATACAGTTGTATTGGTTTGATGTTCTGATTCAAAATGTTATTTGATTAATGCTGTTCCAGTACTTGTACTATATATATATATATATTACTATAAACAAAACTATATAACTTAGATTTGATAACTAACGGGGACTGTGCCATGCATGGCTTGTTTTGTATGGCAGGTATAAGTGTATTCATATTTGTGAAAATACACAAAATTTTTCCAATGATGCCCCACACATTAGTACTCAGTTGGTACCAAATCTTTCAAACAACTATTTTATATGATTAGTGCCCTCTGGTGGCCACTTTTCACAATATTGACATACTAGTAGTTTAAATTACTATAACTAGCACCATCTGGTGGTGAGTCACATTATTATTATTATTATTATGATATTTAAAGTATAATAATTGTTACAGATTGTGAAGAAATTAATAGAAAAGAAACAAGAACAGATCCGTAAAGTGCATGCTGGATTATTGTGCTTCAAGGAAGGAGTTCGGCAAATACCAATCGAAAATATCCCAGGAATACGTAAGTCTTTTCTTTGATTATAACAAAGAGCCGTGGTTTTTAAACATCAAATAGCATGATGGTTCTGACAACATAATACCCTGATTTTTTAATTTAAAAATATTTCTGAACTAATGATTTCCACATTGATTTTGAGTTTTATTGGTGTAATCTGTCATTATAATACATTTTAAGGGGTCAGAATTCACCCACATATGTATTCCATGTTCTAGATTTTCTTTCAAATACCAGGGCCAAAATACACTCTGTAGAAGATGCGCGTAGGTGGGTAAGGTACATGACAAAATAGACAACAATTTTAGTATATTTCAATGAACTATCGATATTACTGACCGTACACTATTTCTGCCAAAAAAGTAAAAAAATGTTTCTTTGCAGTTACGATGAGTGGCATCAATGGACATGTAAATTATGTCACATGTTCAATTTGAACAATATGCTGCAATGGATGCCCACAATTATCATGGGTAATTTTCTTGCAAATATGTAATTTATTAACATTTTTGGCAGTAATAATTGGCACATGTACCTTGTTTTGATCAGTTGTTCATATAGTCACAGTCACAGTGCACAGTGCTCAGTCATATGATTTTGGTTCAGCTAGATATTTAAGCCAGTTAGTCGAGGCAGGATCACTAGTTTTCAAGTGCCAGATACAAGACCATGCTTCAGCCAATCAGATGGCTAGATTAAGACTAACCAAGATATAATTCCCATTATTTCGTGTATTGTTACATTTGTAGGTGAAGCTGGTTGGAAAGCAAGCAAAGAAAGGGGAAGAGGCTGCATATTAACAGAGGATCAACTTTACACAGCATTTAAGACAATATTAACCCAAGTCAAGGTAAGTCCATTCTACGATATTGAATAAAGTTCATGTCTGTAAAACTTGATGCTTTTTGAATGTGATCTTCAAAATGACTTGCAATTACTATAAATGATTTATGCCCTAACTATACTACTTTATGTACATAATAAATATTATTTATCATCAGTTACTATGAAGTGAAATAATTGACAAATTTCTTTTACTATCTATTTGGTCTCAGAATCATGCCAGCTCATGGCCATTTTTAAGGCCAGTAGAGAAGTCTGAAGCCCCAGACTATTATGATC